AAATTACCGTCAACTTCACAAACAATAACAATAACTGGCGGAGAACTTGCTTTTCCGACTCCCGGAGTTTAACCTCGTCTGCACTCGATCGCACCTGTCACTTTTTTTTCCCATGGTTCTCGTAGTCACTTATATAGTTTCCTCCAGGTAACCCAGAAGGTTCTCGAAATCTCCAGCCCAGGTGCGAAATTTCCCGCTTGTCAGTGCCATATTTGACAGTAAATGGGGCCCAAATGGGGCTCCCATTTACTGAAATACCATGAATTTTGATCCCCCATTTCAAACGTGAGTACCCCAGGTCATTTCCGTTACACTGCCCCCCTTCTAAACCCTGATCGCCCCGATTAGGTTATTCCTGGATCATGGTTATATCTGGCCAAACGGTGAATGTGGACAACTTTAAATTTTGCCCGATGGCTCTTCTGATTGCTCATCAACAGTTCAACTACGCCGACGTCGCGCGGCTTTTCGTTGGTGTTTACTTGGCGCACCACGTTGTCCATCTATTGCATCAGCGTCGCACCAGGTTAAAGAACTTGAACAGATCGCCGGTATCGGCCAGTTTTCCTTTGCGCTGCTCGTAAACCATTTGCAAACTGGCCAATGCAGACACCACTTCTTGTTCTCTATTTGTGATCTCTTTGGCTCCGTCGCCCGCATAGCTGGGTCGAAGCTTGACCGATTCCTCTTGGATCTGTTGCACTTGGTTCTGAAGCGTCTGTAGGTCTTGCGTGAAGTTCTGCTGTTTGCGCTGCAGCGTTGAAACAGAACCAGCATCTCGGCCTAATTCATGAGAAGAGGCCACCACTTTGCGATCAGCTATCCACTGCTCCAAGTCGCCAACGTCTTTGTTGAGCAGGAAGAGCTGCACGGCCTCATCCAGCTTAGCGCTCGTTCTTGCGCCAAATCCTTCAGCGACCTGCTCGGCCAAAGGATGTCCTTCAGCCGACAGGGCCTTTACAGTTTCACCCAGTCCTCTGATGGTGTCCGCATAAGCTTCAACGGCC